TTCAATCGATGCAGTAAAACTCTCAACTGTACTCCAGGACAACCAGCGCCACTCTGAGTGGCGCTCAGCATGGCTCCTCTGCTTTCTTCCGGCAACAAGCAAAGCTCCTGTCAGCTGTTTCAGTAGAATGTTAAACTAAATCAAGGAGTATAGGATTTTTTTTACATTTATTAAACATTTATTTAGACAGGTAATCTCATTTAGACACACAGTCTCATTCTCAAGAGACTTGATAAAACTTAATGGCCACAGTGGGCCACACACAGGTGGTATTTGTTGGCCACAGAGAAACTTTTTGTGGCCACGGGCCGTCATGATTAATGTGGAACCCTGAGTTGTAAAAGAGCTGCAGTAGATTGTTAAAGTTAACAACCATACTATGTTTCAGTTTGGGCAAATAACTCAACAGTAGTGTAGAGAATAAACACTGACACTGGGTCAAAACAATCCCATTGTTTTGTGGGTAACTACTGGGTGAAGTTTATCCAGTATTGTCGGTGCTGCAAGATTTACATCATCCGTAGGAAAGGAGTAGTTTGTGGCTGAGTGGTGGAAAATCAGACAGTATTATGTTTTGTTGAGTTTGGTCTTTCAGGGGAAAAGAAAGAATAATGCCAGTTTTAATTAATATTAGTCTGAATCAAAACTGTCACAAATCTTTTGAAATACTGTAAATTCATTGACTTCCAGAGGCAAAATCACTGGACACAATATCATATATCATATGTGTGTTAATTATCTTGGGTAAACAGCATATTACCTCTGTTGTAGTGATAATTACTGAGAGTCGAGCGTTGGCCTCTGAGCCTCGTGTCTCATGCCTGGTTGCATATCCAACCACAGGATGCACTGGATGACATCAGGGTTGGTTCCCACAGGGCGGATAGAGACGGGAAGCATGAGGGCCAGCAGGGATTCTAATGGATTCTAATGGAAGTGGGTCTTCACTTCTGTTTATCTGGTGTTTTCGTTGGCATCACCGGATACTGCTGCCATCCCCCCGGAGAGATTAGAAAGAGAAAGCAAAGAGCAGGAAACAGAGGAAGTGTGTAAGTGTCAGTCATGGGAGTAATTAGCTCAGGAGATGGATTGTTGCTGCCAGTGTGAGAAATGACAATGTGCAACTTGGGCACACTCCTGCACTGACAGATGCACTCAGATGTATACATCCACCTTTCTCTGTTCTCAGAAACATGTATCCCTCCCTCCTGACATTTATTTCTCTCAGATTTTAAAAGATGTTCGTCTCAATGGTTCATTTTAAGCTGTCAGATGAGCTCAAAGTAGCACAGGCAGTGGCGCACCAATACGCACACACCTCACACATCAGGCCATAAAATATTTAATAAGGGGGTCTTGAGGGCCTTCAGAATTGATGGATCAATGTGGACGCCTGAGCACAAAGTAATAAATAGTCCATTTTAGAGAGTTCACCCATCTACATGCCCGGGGCCATTAGCTGAATGTGCACTGGCAAAATTTTCCACTTGGTATTTACACACACACATTCAAACACACACACACATCCATCTTCTGCTGATCACCAATCAACAGCCCGAGAGCGTAGCTGTGTTTGTAAAGCGAGTAAAGAGAGGATCACGCCGGGCATGCTCCTGCTCGTACACAACATTGTTACTGGAGGGAGGGCGGATGTGCTGTTGGCCGCATCAATGAATGAAACCTCATAAGGTTTTGTGATGACTCTTGATAGTGTTTACTTCACCCGATCGATTCTTGTTACTGATCTGCCGGGTGCCTGTGCTCTGGACACCAGCAGCTGTGCTTCCAGCAGTCTGTCTCCTCTCTCACAGCGAGGCTGCCTTCTTGTTTGAATATTCTGAGAGGAATTAACACAGTGTTTCAGTGAGAGATGCAGGATACGAATATGGTGAAAGTCTTAATGTGACGGGGGAATTCACAGAAAGATTGCAGGGCTTTTGCAGCCAGTAAACCTGCACAAATAAGACAGAAAGAAACTGTGATGCTCAAAGCACCTGCAGAGGGTGAAATGTAACTGTGCTGCCAAGCAAATAGCAGCTTTTATTCAATTTCAGGTAATATTCGTATATTTGGCAGCCAACTCGCCAGAAGAAAATGCTGGCATTGGACATTTCTGCACATCATAATTACTTTACATGTCTATGTTTCTTACGTATCATGTGTGGGTAATTTTTCATCACCCGTAGCTGTTTTTCCAGCAGCTTTTCAGCCCCCACATGTGGTGTTTTTTAGCAACCTGTTGCTGACACTTAGCCGAGACGCCTGCAAAACTGTAGATTTCTGTCAAGACCAACAAACAACAATAATGGTTGTTTTTTTTTAGTGTGACATTGCTGTGTTTCCTGTGGCTTTTCAGTCTCCAAACGTAGGTGTTTTTAGCGACCTGTTGCTGTATTTTCCAGCAGGGATAGTGCAATGAAAAGCAGTTGTTTTTTACCGAGACGTCGCTGCGTTTCAAATGAGGATTGTGCCACCAAAAATGGATATTTTAAGCCAAACCATAATCTTTTTCAAAACCTAACGATATGTTAACTACATTTTTGTTTAAATGTAAAGTTCAAATGTTTTCGCCACATAATACCGTGCAACTCTAACATATCCATGGTTTGCCATGTACCATGCCAATATTATTCTGTTGACTAGGTTGCATTTGGTGCAAAATTGGCCCCTTTCTTTGCAAATTAGCTGCAAAAACAGCACTAATAACCACAAAATGTTAAAGTGCAATTATTAACATCTTTGGAGAGGTGGTGGTAATCAGAGTTGGGTAAGGGTTACTTTAAAAGTAATCAAAGTACTTTACTGCGTTACTTTTTGAAAAGTAACCAGTTACTTTACAACGTTGCTCCCTGAGAAAAGTAACTCAAGCACTTTTAAAGTACTTTTGAGTATTCTACATTTCCTATTGGGCAATGGACCACAGGGAGCTAAGCCTACATTTTTTTGTCTCCAAAACTAAAGTTATGGACCACTTGCCCTTCACTGAGATCCAGTTCTCCCATCACAGCTGTCACTTTGACCAGTAGAAACACAGAACCATCTGCTGCCGTAGACAACTGTATGACAACAACACCCCAGCGTTTTTAATATTTCCTCTAGGGATGTTACCACACAGAGTAAAAGGGGGAAATGATGGTGTGAAACAGCAGAGGCACTTTGTCAACCCGCTGAGTTAACGTTACTGTCATTAGCATCAAGCTAGCAAACAATGGTACATCCTCACGGTCGGACATAAAGTAATAACATTAACAAATAGCGGCGGGGCTTTTACTCACCACAACTGCAGAGGCTCCCAGCTTCATTTGAAACAAACTACATTATAGACGGTCTGTTATTTATTAATCCCTCTGTGTGTTTATATATTTACTTTTTATCCGCTCCGTTGTCTTTATAAAGTTAACATATCGCACCGTCATTTCAAACTCAACACTTCCTGAATTTCTTTCATATTAAAAGCCCCTTATAACATGTGGACCATCGTGTAGTGTGTCATGTCTGTCGGCCAAGTCACGGCACGATTTTATGAATCCACAATCATGTAATGTGACATAGTGACTTTCAGAACAGCAAAAAGTCATGTAGTGTGTACCAGGCATAATGCAAGTCCTCCTGAGTCTGACTTGTCTGTCAGCGAGTCCTCCTCCACCTCTTTTTAGATTCCACCATAGACAACGGCAGCATTTCTCCGACCACATAGCGAGCCACAAGCTCCGTGGCTTCTTTCAGACTGACGTTATTAGAACCAAACGACAGCAGTTGCTGTTCTGGAGCTGAAGGACCAGTGTTCTAAATGTAACAGAAGTAACTGATGTCTTGTTTGAAAATGTACTTAAATATTTGATTACTCAAACAGCAAACTAACATGTTAGGTTACTCGTTACTGCAAAAAGCAACAAAGTACTCTAACGTGTTACTTTGTTGTTATACCCAACTCTGGTGGTAACTGACACCACTTCTCACCGCACTGACAGACTATAATATTAAATGCCAAATATGGTTTCTCTTTGTCACCTATCCTTGCCTTAAAGGTTTGAGAGATGCCTCTGCACCTCTTCATTGCTGTTAATCATCTTGCTGTGTTCCTACCGCAAAGGCAGCATTTATACTTTGCCACATGAATAATTGCAATCTGACGCAAAGAAGGGCAGATTGCACTGCACAACTTCAGTGTTTGCACTGTAATATCATCAATATGTTTTGTAAATTGGACCCATGTGGCGGCTTCCAGGGCTGAAAAATAAAGCTAACGCAAAAGTGCCACAGTTCTTTGAGCAGCCACTTGAGGCTGGCTCCAGAAGATAGTCAGTCCCCATTGATCCCTGTGTAAAAATGCACAACTTTACAGCAGAAATAAACATGTTTACAGCCTGGTACAGGAAACAGATTTGGTTTCTGTAGCTAATTTCAACATTCATGACAACTGCACAGTGGGCAAGTTCACTCACCTGTTTACATTTTATTAAGACTTGAAGTCACGCCAGGTTCAGAGCAGGGCTGCTTGAGTGACGGCTGTCTGCGAGTTGTGGTATTATTATTCTGAACAGTCTATGATCAGACCTTGAGACGGGCAGACAGCGGTTGGAAGTGATGCACAATTGATGGTGCAGTCCATTCTTTGAGAATTCACCCATGAGTTTTTAAAGATTGAGAATGGATAGTTTTTGGATTCAGCTCTCACCTAACCACTTAAACTGAAAATTTCTTCTTCAGAGTTCAGAGTAATTTACTCTCTGCAGGACTGTGAAAGTCTCTGTAACATTCAAACCCTGGTTAAATGGAATTTTCAATGAAAATCCAAGATACTTTAACTAGAAATAGGAATGATGCAATAATAACAGTATTTCAACAAGCATTTGTGATGAAGGTTGTGTATGAGAACCATAGCTTCATATTAAACATGTCAGAGTTCGCGCTGGATGTCTACTCGCAGAGCAATTCACAAATCAGACTTTACAGGCCTGAATTCTCTATTGATCACTCTTTTCTTCTTCTCCCTACAGACAGCAACTTTGTGCTGGGAAACGCCCAGGTGCAGTCTCTCTATCCCATCGTCTACTGCTCTGACGGTTTCTGCGAGCTCACCGGTTACGCCCGAGCTGAGCTCATGCAGAAGAGCTGCGCCTGTCACTTCCTGTACGGCCCGGAAACAAGTGACCGGTTGACGGCTCAGATCCAAGGAGCCCTGGATGAGAGGAGGGAGTTCAAGACCGAGCTGGTCTTCTACAAGAAGGAAGGTGAGACTGGACCAAGAATGTGTGTGTGTGTGCGTGCTATTACTCTTGTTTTGCGTGTCCTTTGTGAAGACCAACGAGGCTTAAATATTCATACAGTGTAAAACCAAATAATCTTCTCAGACATTCTTCACTAGCCACTTAACCTCAGTACAGAAATGAATTTACAGTTTCATATGTGGGGGCTGAAGAGCTGCAGATGAGCTCTTTAAGACTGGCAGAAGTAGCACCTTCATTTTGCAGGAGGTCATTTGATTCAACTCAATCTAAAAAATCTATTTATTAAAGCCACAAGTGTATTTTTCAAATAATTCTTGTTGAGTCAAGTGAAAAAAGAATGTGAAACGTGGTACACGGCGGCTTCCAGACTGCTACCTAGACCTGACCTACCAATGAACAATTTGCAGCAGTTTTGATTAAAGGAATATTTACATTTGTGTCAGTTTTTGCATACATTTATATGATTTACAATATCCTGGGACACCCCAGTGGATCACCTGGTAGAGCGTATGCCCAGTGGATGCTGACCACTGAGTAGCAGTCTGGAATCAAGTCTGACCAGCATCCCTTTGCTGCATGTCATCCCCTCTCCCTCTCCCTCTCCCTCTCCCCTCTTGCTCTCATCTCCAGACTCATAACAGTGTAAATATAAAAGCTTTAAAAACCTTAGAAAATCAGTTTAGAGTCCAGAACATAAATCTTCCCGTTGTAAAGGTCCTTGGCTGCTTGTCTTGTGTTGCCTCCATGATTGCACATACCCAATGTTTTGGAACGACCTCCATCATGTGTGATTGCATGTACTCTATGCATTACTGAGTGTGGTCGAACATATGTGATGTCGCTCTGGGGCAGATGTGTGCAAGGTTGAGGATGGGGATGATTTTAAATCAGGTGAAAGCACATTCCTACATACAGTGTACCATGTGGACCATTACCGCTGCAACGTTCTTTGGAAACTGTGGCAGTGATTAGATCTAAACTAGAGATGAACCCTCCGGTTGTTTAATTGGGACGCTAACGGAGGATTTGCATCTCATAATGTTTTTCTGACAGAGCCAGAAAGTTTCATGGTGAATGTGAATCACTGCTGAGGATGAGTTTCAAAGCACCCTCTATTTAGAGGCGGGGAAATTTTCATGTTATGTGATGAAGTCTAAATTTTCTGCCTTTTATTTTATTTTCTGATGGATTTGCTAACTGACAGCCAAAGTGTTGAAACATGCTCACTGCCCACCCTTCATCTCCAGTGGTTTCTTTGCCACTCTGCACTGCGCACCACACAGATCAGGACGAGGCTAATGTTAGCTAGCTAGTTGTGCTGCTCATTCTGTGGTTACAGTTGTTAATGCTGTTCTGGTGGCAAAACACAACACATTCTCACTGTGACCTCGTCACATGTCCACGTTTGGTCATGGACTTTCCACGTCCACATACGACGTCCAAGGTACCCTGGGTGTGGGTATGCATTGTCTGTTTTCAAAATACACTTCTGTTTTCACAGGAAATGCACAGTTTGTGTACAGTTTCTTGGGTTTAGGAAAGAAAGGAAAGGGTTTGACTTTACAATTTTACAGGAATCACACCCAACCGCCTTACTCGGACTTTCACCCGCTTAACTCACATTGTTGTCCTGCTGCGTTTACCTGGTATCGTGCCAACATGAAAGGAAGTTTTTTTTCGTCAGTGTCTGATGCCGGAAGTCACTGACCAAGAGCTTGATTTTGACGACAACTTTGGAGTGAGACTGTGTTGGAAGGAAACTTTGTGCCCATTCTCCGTTCTCCTCCCAGCTCGCCCCGATGAGCAAGCAACTTCATTTTGAATCACAAAACCCTCTCAGCATTGTTGACAATGTTAGCACCACTAGCTGTGCTGACACTGCTAACGGTGGTAACAGAGCTAACAATGATAACATGGTCAACAATGCTAAAGGGGTTTTCCTGCTCAAAATGTAGCTGCTTATTCATCGAGGCGAGCTGGGGGGAGACCGGAGGGCGGGATTCCACAGCAACACTGTTGAGTCACGACAGTGTTACTAGAGGTAATAGATAAGACGATGGTAATAGATCCAGATGGTGCGCAGTGCAGTAAACTGATGAGTAGCAAAATTAAGCTATAAACCAACCTGCGAAACCCGTCAAAAATGTTCTTGGTGGTTAATCAATTAAAGGTTAACCGGGGCGTTTCTGGGAACAACGTGCAGGTTTGGTCAGGACTTTATAAAAAGGTAGGGACCAGGAGCCAGACTGTAAGCAGCAGGCATCAAAGGGGAAGCTACAAAAGTTGCAAACACAGTGCCAAATGCCAAGTGGACAAAGCTTGTTCCAAAATGAGAGCTGTTGACTTTCACTTTGTCAGGTGATATTGTATAAAAACAGTCACCAATCATTCCTGCATAGTTCACACATTTAAGCAAAATTTCCCTGGATGAATAAAATGGATATAAGACACACCATTCTAACAATCCTGTATGAATTCTTAAAGAAATCCTGCTGACAAACACTATACATCCCTTACATTCAGTGCTATGCCAGATTTCATTTGTGCAGCTGAGCTGACTGAGGGAATGAACGTATGAATTACTGAGCCGTGCATATATTAAAGGGAACCATCGCCTTTTTATGTGCAAAGTCTAAAGAGCTTTCATCGAGCAGTGGCTGCCTTACATGTTTCACCATAAGAGAATCCACAACAATCAAATGTTCCAGCAGTCAGTCAGTGGAGTGATTTTAAAAGGTAGAAAACACATAAAAGTTCACATGAATGCCATCAGATGGTGAATGTCTGAACTCTTGGTGTGGTTTGTCGAAGCCTTTGAGTGAGCTGATGAGAGGAAGTTTGAGAGACAACGAAACAGGAAAGTGAAAAGTTTTGAGAAGAGAAGAGAGCCGTGAAGAAGAACAGCAGGAGAAAAATTCCTGCTCATTCATCCTCTCTTTATTAATTATTAATAAAAAGGGAGACAGATGAGTGAGGGCGTAAAGAAGCAAAGACCCAGTCCGCAAATACACAATGAGAGGAGTGGGAGTCACGTATAGATGGAGGAGAGACACAGGAAGTCATGGACACATCTGCTCCTCTGAGATATAAGGCCGTAACAAAGAGCAACACGGCCTGCGTCTCACAAACACACACAAATGACAAATTAGAAGTGTTTCATGCTTTTATCAGCTCTCCATGAGCTCACATTAGCATATTAGCTGTTCCCCAGGGGAGCAAGCAGAAGAATAAACACATTTATATCCAGTTCGCTCTCTCAGATCACCACGGTTCTCTCACCAACGCCTCGGGCATAGTTTTAAAATTGTATCCACCGCGAAGTACGTACTCATATTATATTAATATAAACATGATTTACAGGCCAATAAATAAAAGTGGGAATAAAAGAAAATAAGTAAATGACCTGATGATGGCTATAGATGAAAAGTCATGTTGCTACAGTACCAAGGCTGTACCCTGTGGAGTGTACTTTTAAACACACAAAATCTGTTTGTTTTTAATTGTGCTCGCCAAGTTCATTTCCTGAATGGTCCGCCGATGGGCGAAGTGGTACTTTTTTTAGTGACCACATTTGTTGCCACCATTGTGAAGATTTGTCACTGATCAGTGTCCTCTCACATCCATCGGGCTGACTGACCTGGGTTTTTTTATTTTGTTATATAATAGTATAAGTTAGTGATATCAGTATTGGTTAATTTTGCTTTTGGTAGCCCGACACCCATCAACTGGGAACTAACTGGTTAATTTTTTAAGGAAACAAACACAAAATAATGTTAAATACAATTGGCTTTTACTTCTAGTCTGGCGCACCGATGACTCAGTGAGCTTTAGCACCAAACTTTAAAGAGGCAACAGATGGGATTTTTTTTTTTTTTTAACTTGGCACCACCTAGCGTCAGTGGTGCTGCGTCGCAACGACCAACTTGACCGTGGGGATTACAGATAATCAATAAATTCAAACTCTCTAAATTAAATAAAATGCAGGCTGTAAAGCCACCAGTATACCTCTATGTACAGTCAGGTCCATAATTATTTGGACAATGATACAGTTGTCATCATTTTGGCTCTGTACACCACCACAATGGGTTTTAAATGAAACAATGAATACCTGCTTAAAGTGCAGACTCTCAGCTTTCATTTAAGGCTTTTTTCAAAAATGTAATATGAACCGTGTAGGAATGACAAGCATTTCTTCACACAGTCCCCCGACTTTAAGGGCTCATAAGTATTTGGACAAACTAACATAATCATCAATTAAACAGTCAGTTTTAATACTTGGTTGCAAATCCTTTACAGTCAATGACTGCCT